GTTTTCCCAATACTTGAACTAACATTTTAAATATGGTTGTCTTTGTTTTGTTTTCAAAAAATAAAGTATTAAAGACAATCCTACAATCTTTGACCGTTAGTTCCCTTGAGGTCTTCACTCCCACTTCCACTACAGTTTTATAACTGTCTTAAAAGTGGGTGTTTCTAAGGCAAATAGAGTGGCAAATCCCTCTAGTTAAAGCACGTGGGAGGCTGAGGCAGGAGGATCACAAACCTGAGTCCTGCTTGGGCAATTTACTGAGACCTCATCTCAAAAGAAAATATTTAAGTGGAAACTGTGCTTGCTTCGGCAGCACATATACTTAAAAATTTAAGTGGAAAGGGCTTAGGTTGTAGTTCGGTGCAAAGGCCCAATGTTCAAATCCCAGTACCACACACAAAAAAGGTGTTTCCTCCCATTCCATTTCAAACACATTATTTTTTTCAAAAACATTATTAATGAATATTAATATTATTACTAATATTAAGTATGTCTATTGGTGAACAGTAATGTTTTATCTTTAAATTTACTTGAATGGTACCACATTGCATATCTCTTGCTTTTTTCATTCAATACTGTTCTTTAGATTTACCGAATTAATAGATGTCAAGGGTCTCTACGATCTGAAAGTTGATATCCATCCATTTAACTATTTTTAAATGGGAAGAATAATGGCCTTCCAGGATAAAATGTTTATTTTTTAAAGGAACAATTAGTAGGGTCCATCACATATTCAAAATTCTTGCTGGGTGTGGTGTTGTGCACACCTATGATCCTAACAGCTCTGGGAGGCTGAGGCAGGAGGATCACAAGTTTGAGCCCAGCCTGGACAACTTGGTGAGACTCTGTCTCAATATAAAGAAAGGGCAGAGGGTGCAGCATTAAATTCAATCACCAGTACTGCAGGGGGTGGGGAGGAGGGTGGGGGTGGGGTGGGGGTTGTTGACCTCTGTTGACCTCTCTCCACCAGCAGTCCTTTCCCTAAATTCATAAATTCATTTATACCTCAAAAGGTCACTTGTAGAACCTTTTTTGTGCTGAACAAGAACAACCTATGCTTGAGCAGGGTTTAGTCATTAAAAAAGGGGGTGGGGTGAGGGGGCTTACGTGATGGAAACTGTCCCAGGCAGAGGCTGCCATCTTCCTGCTTGAGCTGGACCCGGACTCTGCCTCTATATTGAATATCACGATTCCATTCCCTAGAGTACATTTTATTTTTCTAGCATAAACAAAACAAAATAAAAGCAGGCTTTAAGAAAGTTATTACATCAGTGAGATGAGTATGGAAAACAGTAATGATTCACACTGTACCTCAAGAAATGCATTGAGTCCAACTGCTGAGCATACGTCTTGAATCTCGGTAGCTGTAGGATTTTCAACAGCCTGAACAGTTAAAAACAAAAACACTAAGTAGCTTACCTTTAAGTGGATACTATTATATGACTGTGAATCATTTCAAATACTGTGATCAATACATATCCAAACCTTAGGTCCTTTGTTTTTTTTTTTTTTTTTTGGCACCAGGGATCGAACTCGGGTTCTTGTGCTTGCAAGGCAGGTGGCAAAATCACTGAGCTAAATCCCCAGCCCATTAGGTCCTTTTTTAACTAGGCACAGCTGTTTCAACAGTAATTTAAAAAATTTCTAGGAAACTGGGTGTAATCGGAGCACTCCGAAAAGCTGAGGCAGGAGGATTGTGAGCCTGGGCCCCTTAGCAAGACCCTGTCTCAAAAAAAAAAAAAAAAAAACCCAAACAAAGGAAAACAGAAAGGACTGGGGGAAAACAAAAACTAAAAAACCACCCTGGGAGAAACACTTATGCATACTTGTGTGTCTCTCTCTTCTAAAGAACGTAAACTTCATGAGGGTAAGGGCTTGGTTTTGTGCACTAGGCAGCATGTTCCTCGGCGTGAACACAACAGGTGCTCAATGAATGCTAACTGATTAAATGGTTACACAGAACCACTAGAAACCAGCAGTATTTATTAAAGCTGAATACATGATTATGGCCCTATGATTCCACCCCAGGTTTATATTTAACAAATACACAAAAAAGACAAGCTTAAGAGTACTCCGAGCAGCACCATTTGCAACAGCCCCAGATTAGAAATCCTATTATCCATGAACCAAAGAAAGGACTGTGGTATACTCACAATGCAGTGTTATAGAGCAGTGGTTCTCAGCAGGGGAATTTACCCACATTTGGCAGTTGCTTTGAGACAACAAGGGGAGACAGGATCTCTTAAAATGCACTAGGCAGTCCCCTACAATGATTATCTGGCTCAGATGTCAATGGTGCTGCTGTTAACTACAGAGCAACAAGAATTAAAACTGTACTGAAGGGCTGGGGGTGTTCCTTAGTGGTAGGTACAAGCTTAACAAACCCAAGGCCCTGGATCCATTCTCCAGCATCAAAACACACCACCAACAAAACCTACACCCCAAACTATGGCCAAATCTCTCTCATCATCTTAAAGTTTAGTGAAAAAAGACACAAAAGTACATTGTCTGGGAGGGGGACATAAAACAGTCTTCCTACAAAGTAGTAAATTTTTTTTGAGATGAGGAGCTCACTATGTAGCCCAGGCTGGCCTTGAACTCTCAATCCTCCTATCTCAGCCTCCAAAGTGCTAAAATTATAGGCATAGGCAAGCACCACTATACCCGGCTTGGTAATGTTTTTTTTTAAATTGGGTTTTTTAAAATTGGATTAAAAAATTAATCAAGCTATACACTTAAGACACATGTAAGTTCATGTCTGCTGTATACCAATAAGTTTAAAAAAAAATTCACTCTCCAGAGAGAATCTGAGCGCTTGTAACCACAGCCTGTCACAGTGGTTTGATGTTGGGCATTATTCTGAACAAATGCTTTAGTATCTTTCTTTCCCTGTGGCAGCAAAGTACACTTTCCTTTACACATTTAAGTTAAAGCAAAATGAAAGATATTAAATAATACAAAAATAGCTAATTCACTGCTTCAGACCAAATTGCCTGGAATCTGTCATTAGATTATAAAATGTAAATGACTCTCTAAAAATAGAATGTAACATCAGTTTTAAACAGAAAAGCTTCTACAAAATCCTTGGCATTAGGCACTTTCTGAACTAAAGCTGAAGTCCAAAGGAAAAGGTGAGTTTTCTATCCAAAAGGCAAAAAGGAGAAATTTTAATTTTAAAACTTCCCCCATTCAAACCCAGGGCCTCCCATACGATAGGCAAGCACTGTACCTGTGAACTACATCTCCGGCCACTACATCCCACTTTAAAAAAAACTAAAATGTATTCTGGACCTTATACTGTATAATGCCATCATTCTGATTTCCTTTACTCAAGACTGTAATAACCTTGGTTAAACAAACGAACAAACTACAGACACTTTGGCACCACAGCCTCATTAAGAACCATTTTTAAAAATCCCTCCAGTTTTGCAACAGTGCTTTTCTGGTTTCACCAATACTAAGGTAAGGACTTCAAATCTCGATTAGTGTTCTCCTCAGGCCTGAAAGAATGCAATGAAGTAAAAAGAAGCGAAGCTCCCAACAGGACTCCCCCCACCCGAAGCACCTGGGCGAGTTCACTGCTCACCTTACTTATTGGGATCCGCCTCCCCTCTGCGATGGTTTTCTTATTATTTAAATAAGCAGGGTAGATACAAATAAACCTGCCACAGAAAAAAAGCACAGTTGGTGTAACTAGTACAGTATTCAAAGGCACGTAAATCTACACATTTGCTTAATAGTTTTTTCTTTAAATTGCCTTCCTTTTACCTAACTCACTAAAAAGAAAACTATTTGCACGGTTGGTAGGGAAAAAATACCATCACTTGTTAGAGGTGGAAAAAACAACGAAAACAGCCGGGGTGTAGTGGTGCATGGCTGTGATCCCAACACCTAGGAGGCTGAGGCAGGAAGATCTCATGGGCTACACAGCGAGTTGAGGCTGGCCTGGTGACATCCTGTGTCAAACAACTTTGACAAACATTGTTTTGAAACAAAACGATGCGGTAACTGTCCTGCCAACAGTTTCTGAAGGTGGTTCCTATCCTCTTACATGGAAAAATACGGTATCAGAGGCACAGAGGCTTTCTGAACGAATAAGTAAAATGAGAACATGGTCCTCACGTTGTGACTGTCATTTCATGTCCTCATAGCAACCAAAAGCTCGGAATTTGAAGGTCCCCGCGAAGAGCTGGTGCTGCAGGCTTCCCAGAGGAACCAGCCGCTCGGGAAAGGCGCCGAGCGTGAGGCTCAGGCTCAGCTCAGTGGGCGAGGCCGTCCTCGAGGCCGGGGTGGGTGGTGACGGGGGCCCACACTCGCGGAGCCGCAGGAGGCCTCTTTCTTTCTCAGGACCCACCTGTCTTGGTCTGCTGGGGACCGTGCAGCTGCACAAGCCATTTCCCCACAACCCCAGATCTCACAGAAACCGTAATGAGAGAACTAGGCGGAAGTCCCAGGGTCTTCCGGGGGAGTCTACTTTTGGGCGGAAGTCCTGCCCACCCAAACGGCCCACCGTGGGCCGGTTTTCTTCGCCAGCTGGTTCCGCCTGCTGTCGCTCGGTGCCCGGATTCTTGGTTTCTGACGTGGCCTGTAAACTCTCCTCTCGCGAGAAGATCACGAAGATCGCGAGAAGATCACGAAGATCGCGAGAAGAGCCTTTTCCGGGCTTCTCTATCTGCTGTGTTCTGGGACTGGAGCTTCTTTTTAGTCTTTTTACACTCTGAGACCCTCGTACACACCGAAGTTGTTAGAGGGTGCTGTTCACGCTCAAGCAGAGGTGAAGGCTGTGTAGTTTGGAGCGAAATTCAAATTAGAGCAAGCAAGAAAATGACTTCTTTTGGAGACAGGGTCACCAGGCTGGCCTTGTGGCACGATCCTCCTGCCTCAGCTTCCCGTGTGCTGGGATTACAGGCATGCGCCACCACGGCCGGCTGAAATGCTATTTTATGTTTAATCTTTTTTTATTCGCACTTAGGACGCGCTTGCTCAACTTGACGAAATTGAATTTTTGATGGGATGGGAATTTAGCCCAGTGGTTTCACCGCCTGCTGTGCAAGCACAAGGACCCGAGTTCGATCTCCGGTACCCGCCCCCCCAAATTGAATTTTTATAGTGGAAGAACTAGCAGTTATTGGCAGTGTGCTTCAGTGTGTTGTATAAATGTTAGAAACTTGTCTTTTAAACCGCTGAAGCACATTTTCTAGTCTAAACTTAGTATTTTTCAGTGCCTCCAGTTGAGGTGTAGGGACGGAAGAACGGGACCCAGAGTTAAAATGACATAAAATAGATGAACAAAAGAATAATACCGATTTTATGTGCTTCTGGACCCTTCATAAGGAACTAAGGATCCGAAGGAGCAGTCAGCTACTTATATACTGGATTGGTCGAAGAACAGTTGTGAAGAGGCAACTGAGTTACCAGGGAGGTTTACGAGATCAGTAACACGGTCTGTACAGAATTCTCTTGGAGCCTGGCACAGGGGCCTACGCCTGTAATCCCAGCACCAAGGGAAGCTGAGGCAGGAGATGTGCAAGCTCAAGTCCTGGCTGGGCAATTTATCGAGACCCTATCTAAAATAAAAATAAAAACAAAATGGGGATGTAGCTCAGTGTAAAGGGCCTGGGTTCCAGTCCCAGTTTAAAAAGAAAGAAAAGAAAATCTCCTTTCCACTTGCCATCCTTGAAGATAAGGATGTGTGGTGTTTCTCCTCGGAGAGGGAGAGTGGGAATTTGATCTGTTTTTAAGAAACAGCATGAGGCTGGGGGGGATGTAGCTCAGTGGTGGAACTGCTTGCTTAGCATGCTCCACACCCAGGGTCAGATCCCCTAACCCCTCCTCCCCCAAACAAAGCCCCCAGACCAAAACTAGAAAAAGTAAGACACTCACTTTACAGGTAAAATACCAAACCGTCCCCCGCCCCCCGCAACAAACAAAAAAAACAACGTACAAATCTCCACCAAAGCTTGAGTCTCGGAAGGTGGATAACTGACCATTTGTACTAATGGTAGCTGAGCGCAGACGCTCGGCTGGCCTCTCGGGAAGCCCCGGACTTCTATTATTTCACTTCTTGCATCTCAATCTTCCTTGTACTGTAGTTTGAATGCCAGATTATATTTGGTCCTGATGTAAATAAATAAGTCGTACTCCTTTTAAAGTGTACTGGATTCCTGAAAAAAGTCATTGGCAATGACCAAAAATAGAGGAATGGGAATTAAAAGAATCCTGGCTTAGTCACTTGCCTTGTTGCTGAGACAAAATACCTGACACTTGTAACTTAAAGGAGCAGAGGTTTATTTTGGCTCCGTTTTAGAAGTTTCAGTCCTTGAGTAGTTGGCGGGCTCCAGGTAGAAAGGTCTTGTGGAAGGGCCTGCGTAGAGGAAAACTGCTCACCTGGCAGCGTGAAGGGAGGAGCCGGAAGGGAGACACACCCTTCCGGGTCAGGGCCCTGCGCACCTGCTTCCCACCAGACCCCACCTGCTAACAGCAAGTCAGTTGTGAGTCCCGCAATCCAGTCATTTTTCAAAAGCCCCACCTATGAGCGCATGAGGCCCTTGGGGGATATCCAGAAATATTTTAACAAAGCGAAACTTTAAAATATATATTTTGCTGGGCGTGGTGGCACACGCCTGTGATCAAAGCATTTGGGAGGCTGAGGCAGGAAGATCACCACGAGTTCAAGGCCAGACTGGACTACATAGCGAGACCCTGTCTCAAAACAAACAAAAAAGTTTTTTTTTTTGGTACCAGGGATTGAACTCGGGTCCTTGAGCTTGCGCAGCAGGCAACGAAACCACTGCGCTAAATCCCCCGCCCACAAAAGATTTCTTTAAAAAATCAGTTTTAGGACACACACACACACACACACACACACACACACACACACACACACACACGGAAATGAACAAGATAGCCTGAGGCTTAATAATGCAGTAGCCTACTTGCCAAGGGGTTGCTTTCTAGAGTCATGTATGTAACAGGAGATAAAAAAGGCCAATATTAAACTTGGTGGTTACATTTTCTGGTTCATCCATGAATAAGGTAATGAATGAAAGAGGAGGTGGTGTGACGTTCTCATTCTATGTCAGATCCATACTCCTACTTAACTCTTCTCTGTTTACTGTACAGAGAGAGCCTTGGTCTCCAATACTGCAAAGTGAGAGAAAGGAAGTAATGGAGGAGCAGCAATAATAAATGAGATGTGAGAAGACTCCATTTAAAAGTCAATATTAAAAGACAGGGTTGTGGGAGGGGGAAATGAACAGCTAGATGTTTGCTAGTAAAATCTCCTTTTTACAAAGATAGAAAAAAACATATAAACATACAGGGAGGAAATAAAAGTTACATATAATAGAAAAATGCAGACTGATATTTGAACTTCTTAGCAATAGTAAGTGCTAGAAGCTAAGAGTCTAAGGAAAAAGAATTGTGACTCAAATCATTCTTTGTGTGAAGGCATAAGAAAGCAATTTTAAACCAAGAATGTATTTATAAAGTGTATCTTCAGCTTAGCTTTTCTGAAAAAAATAACTATTTGACAAAATTCTTCAGCTAAATCAAATTAAATTAACAAATTAAAGCAAAGACAAGTAAACAATAGTGAATACTGAAATTAAGTTGTATTAGATTTAATAATTATTTATAAGATGGTGAAGCTAATTTTAATTAAGAAAATATTCTGCAAATTAAAAACATTTAAGAACAGATTAAAAACAATTTAAGAATTTATTTTAAATAGAATAAATTAATACAAGAACAGATTTTACAAAGAACTAAGGTTCCAATTGAAATAGGGTACATCTCAGCCTCTGAAATCACTTAGCCACCCAATCACCAGGTTCCCACTGCCTGCTACCCCACACAGCTTGGACTCACAGCTCTGCTGCCTCCTCTGTCCGTTTGCTCTTTCCATCTCTTCTTACCTCCTTGTTGCTGGACTACTCCCAAGAAGAATTTTAAACTCTTTCCTCTCTTAAGCAAACCTATTAAACTTTCTCTAATTCTCCCCTCAACCAAATTCTAGATATAAGCTTTACTGATTCCAAACCTACTGAGGTTCTTAGCTAAGGAAAAGGAACTTCTGGCCAAGTGTGGTGCACAGGCCTGCAATCCCAGCATCTGGAAGACTGAGGCAGAAGGGTGGCAAGTTAGAGGCCAGCCTGGGCAGTTCAGCAAAAGACCTTGTCTCAAAGAGAAAAGGGCTGGGGTGTGGCTCAGGGTAGAGCACTTGCTTAGTGCATACAAGGCCCAGGGCTCTATCCCTGGTACCAAAGCGGGGTTGGGGTGAGAAGAACCTTGGGGTATAATTTCTGTAACAGGTTCCACCCTCAGAAGAAAGCTGTGGTTTCAGGTAACTTGTTTTGTACTAACTCACCCATCACCAGTGATGTTTTCAGCAGTTTCTCTGCATCATTCATTCTTCCCTTCATTCGGTGGCGTCACTTGGCACCTACAGCCTTCTGACCAAGGCTTGTCTTGTTTTCATCATATTTACTGCCCTTTCTCTAGAATTATGCTTTGGCATAAATCTGCCATTACTTTCTTTACATTTATCTGTGCAAGTGGGGCTGAATTGTTAGTTGTATCCATTCTGGATCATTTAAAGTGTTTTTCACTAATGGAGGATTTTATTCTATCCAGTTTGACAGTAGTTATTTTACAGTATATGTTTAATATTTATTTGGTACTCTGCCATTTCATACTTTGTGGTGGCTAATTTTCCTCCCTCATTTCCCCTTTTACTTATTTTTTGTTCCAAGTATCTTTACTAGCTAAAAGATGGAAAAATGTACTTCTTTTTAGCATTAGAGTTACCACTAAATTAAAAAAAAAAACTGAACTGTGTTTCCAAGTTAAAATAGTGCCTCTTGACACTGCCTGCAATTCAAAATTCACTATTCTTTTACCTCCTCTTTCTAATCCCCATTTACCAGTTTGGGTTGAAATCTTGAATTTGATTATTAAAATTATTAAGCATTTAATCTTTTCTGCTTTAATTGGGCATTTCCATTAAGATTCATCTTATTGATCACAATTATTTAAACATTTATTCAAGTTTAAAAGCTTTATTGGTCAAACTCAAACTGTTAATACCTTTTTTTTTAATTTTTGGTTTTTTGAGACAGGGTCTCACTATATATCTCAGACTGGCCTTGAATTCAAAGTGATACTCCTGCCTCAGCCTCCCAAATGCTGGGATTACAACCATGCGCCACCACACCTGATTTAACCTTAATTGTTTGAACAGCTAGGATACTGTAGTAGAAGTATGTCCTGGTTTTGGTTACCCAGTGCTCCCCGCTCCCTGCCTCCAGAGTACTGGGAATTGAACTCTGGACCTTGCACTTGCCAGGCAGGTGCAGTGCCACTGAGCTAAATCCCAGCCCTACCCAGTACTTTTGAAATGCCCCTTGAAGACTTGGGAAATTCATGAATCTAGCCTCCTCAATGTAAAAAAATAACATCAAATTGTACAAAACAAGTCCTCAAACCAAATCAAAATCAAAATAAGCTGGGTGTGGTGGTGCACACCTGTAATCCCAGAACTCTGGAGGCTGAGGCAGGAGGATTGCCATGAGTTCAAGGCCAGCCT